CAATTTTTTTTTTTTTCCCCAAAATAATCTGTATTGCAGTTGAAGTGAAAATAATTAAGGCAAGACCCATTGAAGTTAGGCATTAGAATGGGCTTTCTGGCATTCCATGCTTTTGGTGTCAACTCAGTGGTAGGAATGACTGCACAATAAATGGGATTTCAGACATATGTGGTTGTCTGCATCCTCCCCCAACAAAAACCACCACCAAACAGTAGTAAGAGTAGTGAGGAGAGGGTGAGTCCTGTACTAGGTGATCGAAACTGATTATAGTCCACAGATCTGTTTTGGTGAAATTTAACCTGCAGGCCTTAGTCAGACCAATTGAGCAGTAGTGAAATCATTGATATCATGCATGTGGCATTTGACTAAAGGTGAAACCAAGTCTGACCAGATTTGCTTTTTAAATATAAGGATCTTGTTTTCCTGTCCTCAGAATCTAAAGAGATGAATTTCAGATTATTCTGATAGTGACTACACAATTCTTCCAATAATTGTGTTTTCATAGCAGTCTGTCTTGATCTTATTTTAGATGAAGTAGCTGTCCTTTGTCATAGCCATGATAGATTTGAAACCTTGTAAGTAAGACTTTTAGAAGAAATGAAGGGAATTCATCTTTAAGGAAGCAGCTGGTTGTCGAGCTTATATAAATAATTAAAACTTATTAGACTTCTTAAGTGGCCAGAAGACAATCCAGAAACAGTGTGTAGCAGTTGTTTCAAAAGAAGGTCAGAATCATAGAATCACAGAATAATAAGGATTGGAAGGGGATTGTCTAGTCCAACCACCCTGATAAAGCCAGCTCACCAAGAGCAGATTGCACAGGAATGTGTCCAGGTGGGTTTTGTGTATCTCCAGAGGACACTCCACGGAGAAGCTATGGGTACCACAGGTGCCCTTGAGAAATGGTGTGCTGGAAACCAGGAGTTAGGCTGAGCAAAGTTGATTTGTAAAGATCCTTCCTCACAGTTTTTTTTCAGTTATTGTCACTTTATACAGATAAATGAGCCGGGTTATCAAGTCCGTTCCATTGCAGAACTCCATACTGAACTGCGGTCTGGAGTCAGCATATATTTTCAAACTGCAGATATTAGAAATGAAGGTATCTTATGAAATACAGATGCTTTTGTCATTTCTTGGGCACAGTGGAAACAACAGCAAAATAAACTGGTTTGGATGCTTTTAACAGTGTTTCAGCAGTGTAAGTTGAGCTATGATGCCACCTTGCTATCGTGGTGTAGATTTGATCACTTGAGATCCTCATTCAGAGTCCAGTTCCTGCTGAGCAGTAGACTTGTAATTGTTTTCCTCTTTCCTTAAAATCACATGAGAAAACAGATTTCCACTTTTCCTCTACAGTATAACCTCTTAGTATGATTTGTTGTAACTGCCATCAATCTGATTTTTCCGGCAAATGAGTTTGTAACATACTGCCACCTCATCTAAGCCACTGAGAGGGCACTGTTGAAAGCACATTTTCTCAGTCAGTCAACATAACATTGACATTACACGGGAATGTGTATTTTAAAAAGACAAAAAAAAAAGAGACATTTAAGCAAAGGTACTCAAGCCTTTTTGTCCCTGACTTTGCAGCAGTACAGGATTCTGTCTGTACGTTGATCATAATGTGAGTTGCATCTGATAAAATGTCAGACTACCACATTCTTGATTAGAGGGAAGGCAAAAAAAAGGAAAAAGCTAACCATGATAAAGGATAGTTCTTGAAAATATTTGCGAGCTGCAGACTTCACACAACAATGATGTTGGTAGTTGATGTTGGCTGTCACAGCTTCCCAAATAGCAGCACTGAATCCATTCACATGAAGTATTTGGAAAATAACTTACTTCAACACTGAATATAAGTATTTCAAATTAGAGCATGTAAATATGCATTGTCATTTGTAGTTAATCTGCGTAATATATCTCTAGAAGTTTTATCACTCTTGTATGTTGGTCTGATATTCCTCATGGTTGTAATTTCCAGAAGAGCAAAGTGAAGACTGGTGTTTTTGTTCCCTTTTCTGCACTTTGACCAGAAAGCATTGTATACAACAACATCCAGTAACCTAATGATGTAAAAGATAAGTCGTGGCAACTGAGATGATGTATCAGGCACGTCTAGCCGGATTTTATCTCTGTTGGGAAAAAAAACCAAAAAACAAAAAAAAACAACAGCTCGGGACTGGGTTAGTTTTCTAATTAAATCTTGATGTAGCCCTTTGCTTTTAAGATACTGGCTGTTGCCTAAGGAAGCAGTAGTCAGGATAATTATTGCCAATGCACACACTAATTCACCTCCTAGAGACATGACATTCTGAGACTGAGTAGTTAGCATGATGTGTGAAACACTGACTTTTAAGATACCCTCATAATGTATAGAGGAGTTTACCCTGATAGTTCACCTGTCTTTGTAGGATACTAAGAGCTGCTTTTTGTTGAGATAATCAGAAGGGTCTTCACAAAAGATTTCTTGTCCTTGGCTTCACTATGATTTAGAAGGCTAAGCCTCCAGAGTATTGACAAAAGTGTAAAAAATACTCTTCCAGGTCTCATCCTGTTTCTGATTTTATTAATCCATCCTGTTATGATATAGACCAGTAGCATTTGTGAGTTTCTACACAGGCTTGCATTTGTAGCTCTAAGTCTGGAATTTGAGATTCTGTGGTTAACAATGAAATCAAGATAAGTGTGAATGCATCGGAATGTCCTTTTCACTCTTCCACCCTCCCTCTCAAAACCTCTTTTATGAACAGGCAAGAAGTGACGGTGGGACCTCACTGTAGGTAGGATCACTGTCATGAAGGATGAACGAGTAGTCTAATTGCAGTCTTAGGAGCACAAAAAAAATCAGCTGAAGGGATAAATGTGGAATAGATTGCACTGATAGCTGCAAGACTAAATAAACCCTCCCCCATAATGAATAGCTAAATGTTTATTAATAGAAATTCAATCAAGATCCAGACTTATAACAGTAGTTCACAGAGCTTTTAAATGACAGTTTTTTTTGTCCCTCAGATTGGGTGTTACATGTAGTAGTACTTTGTTCTTAGCAAGAGTGTGCTTTAAGGTGTACTTGGAGAAACTCCTAAGTGGGTTGGATGTGGAAGGAATGTCAGTTCCCAAGATTGCTCTAAGAAAATAATCAGTTGCAGAGCTCTTTCAGGAAATGCCAAGACTTACACATTTGGAATTACCAAATACATTTATGAGACACTTTCAATTGCAGTTTTGTTATGTTATTGGTAAAATAATAGCAGTCTCCATAAACCTGGAAGTCCTGGATGAATAGCAGCTTTTCCCTAGTCATATTGTGTCACGTATGGTGAAAAGTTTTTCTGAAGCAGATTTGTTATTTTTGTTCATTGCTGTAAGGCTGCTGAAGAGCAGAGGCAGGACTCTGCTCCAATTCCGTGCTTTTCTTTTCTTCAGGGTACTGTGTGTTCCCCTGGTCTTCCTCTGTGTCTCCTGTGATGACTGGCAGGTGGCTGCACTGCTGTTGTCTTCCGCTACTGAGTGCATCTGATGCCTGTGTGATTGCACTGTAAGTATTCCCTAGTCTTCATGGTCTGCCCTGGCTTGACAACAAGTTGTCATTATATGGAGGACACAGGACAGTCAGGAGCCTGCCCTCTCCTTGACCTTTCAGATAACTGAGTATTCATACAATTATTGCAAATAATGTTGTTCTGTAGAGAGCAAAACTTTCTTACTGGAGTATTGCCTGGAGTATACCACATAACCATCAACAAGAGGGAGCTGAAAAGTGGCATAACACTGGTTTTCACGAATGGCCTCTGTCTCAGTGCAGTCCACTTCACACAGACTGGCACTATCCTACGAGAAAGCTTATCTTGTCTAGCTTTGGTTATTTCCACTGGCACTGTTTTGCCACAGTGCATTTTCTCTAGAGATCTGCTGCCCTTTTTTTGCTGTTTACGTTGAGGAAGGAAATGTTTGGTCTGCTTTTTTCATTAAAGAAATAACTGTACATGAGGGAAGGCAAGGGTGAAAGTGTGCCCTCTAGGACCTGGACGAAACCAAGCTGAAAAACAGTAATGGTATTTGTTTTGAAACAATTTCTGCAATGGATAACAGCTGCTCTTCCAAAGGAAACAATGAGGGAAACTGCAGCTTTATTCAGTTTGCAATTACTTAAACACCCATCACAGGCCTCAGGCTCCACTGCATACTTCTACAGACTAATGTTCCCCAAAGCACAGCAATTATGAGCATAGGGTTATTTTGGGGCTTCTTGCTAAAACAGAGCCCCAGTGATTTATTTTATTTTTTGAATAAATTTTTGTCATTTGTGCATGAAAAGGCTTGCTCTTGTGTCAAGTCCCCATTGCCAAAATAATAGCTTGACAGAATTTTCAAGTTTTAATTACAAGCCACGTGAACTTTTTTATTTATATACGTATATTGACATTTGAAACCCCATCACTCTAATGTAACTCATAAGTAATGAACGGTAAAATGCCATTTTAATGCAGAAATACATACATCTTGATTCTACTCTTGTGCAGACAAATGTTCCAAAATAATTCAGAACTGATTATTTTTGCAGTCAAAATAATTTGGCAATTTTAAAAAATGACTGAAGGTCTTAGAAATTTATTTAGCAACGTGAAGAACTTATATTTTTACCAGGAGTACACTAAGGTGATTAATTATATATGTTTAATATCTTTATGGATATTTAGTAAAACTGGAAGCAAGTTTTGAAAGGTCTTTTTCAGTCTTTTGGTAGCTGGACAAAACATTTCAATTTAAAATAAACCTACAAGATTTTCACAGTAAACTGGCAGATTTTGTGAGGAAGATTATATTGTTGTGGAAGAGTGGAATGTGTGTGAAAACTGTGTGAAAAATGTTTTCTTTTTGTAGAGTGACAAGCAAAGATTGTTCAGTGGCCCTGTGAACATTTCAGTTGTAGGCCTGAATGAGACCAGGGTGAATATCTTTTCAAGGGTTCTGCCAGTAAATAAATTGCATAACACACAAGGTTTCCAAAAGAGTTTAATAAATAATGAGGTTCTTTCTGTACTGTATAAACTATAAATATACCATGCACTCCTTTATAACTTAAAATAATTTACATACTGAGGTAGGGGGGTAGGAAGGTGTTGTCATGGGGTTTAGATCCATCTCAGGGTCTCCCTGACTTCCTGTTGAGCACACACACACAGGCTGTGTCAATTCGAATAAATCGCCAGGCTGCTTGTTTGCCCTCCATTGTCAGCGCTTTGACAAAGGTGTGAGTTGTGGTGCAGTAAGAGTTCCAGTGCTTTGCATCGATCCCTCGGCACCCACTGGAGACTGGCTTAGGGTCCCTGCACTTTGTCTCAAAAAAGTACTGCTTAAAAATATTGTTGTTAATGTTGACCTCTCCCAACACTGTCACCTCTTTGCCTTTAATGTCAGTGGCTGTGGTTTTGTCCCCAACCCACATGCTGATGCTGTCACACACTGAGAACTCTCCCCGGTGTAATACGGGATGGGCAGTCCTCTTGGTCCTGGCAGTCCTGTTGAGAGAATCTGCACTGCTGAGAAATCCCATATTCTGTCCTCGCCCTGACACTGGGGGGGGCTGTGTGCTGAACAGCACCCGAGGAGACCGGAAGCGCCTCTTAAAAAAATTTGGATCCATGGTGATATTGATAGCTTCTCCTCTACCTGTCGTCCAAGTAGAGTGGCTGTGGGATGTCTGTGGAGCTGCCTTGGGAATGTGGTGTCTGTTACTCAGGTGAGTATAGAACAGGGAGTGTTCTGCAGGATACTCCAGTGGAGCATTGTCTTCTGACTTTGGAGCTGCCTGTATGCCGATCAAAAAAGCTATAATCAGAGTGTAGTACAGCATGGACATTACGCTATGCACCTAGAACAAAAGAAAAATGTCATGTTACTGTAAGCCATGCTGGCACAAACGGATGCCATTGCTGACAATAAATTTGTAAGATACCCCAGATCATACAGATTTCATCAGGTACTCATGTGGGTGCCAGATGTTGTTTTTCTAGAAGAGCTCATTCAGACAGCATAAATGTTCTTAATAAAGCGAGAACATTAGAAAATAATAGCTAGATTATTATTAATTCCTCTGGTATTTGTTATTAGAACACTGTTTATGAAGCACTTATTTGGTGGTATTAATGTGGAGACCATATGGCGACAGCATGTTCCCAGGAGTAAAATCTCCAGTGATTTTTGCAGCAACCTTTTTGGCCAGGACTGATTTCTTGGCTGCAAATACCCTGCAGAGTAGTGAGAGTAGAAGCATACCCTTGGCTAAAATAGCTGTCCGTTCAGTTAATTTGTCTGCAGAAGTGTCCTTGGGAGTAGGGTGGGGACCACCAAACCAGTACTTGTGGAAGGAGGGGAGCCCCGGTGAATCGTGCCATTGTCACATACTCAACAGCCATGCTTACCTGCCATGTTGACAGGCCCCACCACTCTGGCTGGCTCAGCAGCCTCCAGCAGCCTCCATCTATCCCATCTGCCCTTTCCTGTACCACATTGCCGATTTTGGGCAGATAAAGCCCAGACTTGTTCCCAGAAGAGCTCAGGCATCACTTGTCACAAGGGCAGATGGGATTTTTCCATGTTCAAGCTGCCTATTAGGACAAATATGGGTATTACATAGGAGCACTGAAGGTAACAGGCTGCTTCTGGGTTGGCATCTTTGGTGCAGCATAGCTAAAACTTGTGGCCATAGCACTGGGAATTACGTACATGGAAACACCTTCCATTTTTCAGACTGCTATGAGCAAAAAGCACCACAAATGTCACTGCATAGCACATCTAGTGCTAATCATCCTTTGATCTGGAGAATGGGCACATCTGTCTGTGTGTGGAAAAGTTTAACACAAATGTCAAAAACTTTGCTAAGAACAATTTTGTGCTGGAAGACCAGCAGCACTAATATCTTGTTGGGTAACTACCATGCGTTGAGTAATTCAGACACATGTTGGGTTAACAAATGAGCAGCAAGCATCCTGGGAATGAAATGTTAAAAAAATGATCTGAAATTTCAGTTAGGGGCAGAGACTGTATTTCCTCTGTGAAGACTTAATAAGCAGACAGAGTATAAACAGAAAAAAACCTTACCAAGTGAGGCTCCTCCCCTGTCTTTTAGCCCTGTTTGCCTGACATGTCTCAGCTGGCCCTGAATTACACTGGATCTGGCCAGCAGGCAGGCAATTGCACATAGACTGGACAAACAGGGTTTTGTGAAAGAGGAATCGGGCTCTGCAGTTCACTGTGATTTCCCAGCATGTCTTAATGTTTTTTCTGGGTGTGGGTCAATTACAGTTGAAGTTCCTCCTTTCTCTTTTCTGTTCAGCTTTCTTAGACTAGAATCCCAGGCAACACTAAAGCACTCAACCAGGGCCTTAGCTTTGCTGGAGCCCAATCTTTTAGAAAATGAAGAACCCCAAGATGTCCCAAGATGGTGGGATCTTGTGTGGATAGTCTTATCTCGGATGAGAGCTGAAATTAAATAAACAGTTTTTGTGCATGGCTGGGCAAGCTTTTAAGACATCATCAGGAGACACCAAGTGAAGGTGGTGACTGAAGAAGGTGAAGATGCTACAGAACCTGCGTCAATGGGAGAAAAGAGAAAGGCCAAAAACCACATTAACAGTTGTCTGTGCAACAGTAGGGATGGAAGAACTGGGGGCAAAATTATGATGATGAGGGTCAAATTTCTCAGAGAAAATCCTTACTGTTCTAACACTGTTCTAATTTGCTTAAAACAAGGCTGAGGGTTGCTGCTTTCCCACTTGCAGGTCATGCTTGAGCAGTCATCATCATTGGTATATGGAAATAGAGCTGGGTGTAGCTCAATAGCTTGGTTATGCACGATTCAGAGAGTAGCCCCTTGTTCTACAACCAAATTAAAATCAGATGCTTCCTTACATCTCTAAAGAGTCAGCTTTCCTGACAGAAATGTTAATGGAAAAGGTTTGCAGAACAAAATCCAGGCACTATTTAGACCTGCCAATAGCAGCCTCAACCTATTGTGTTTATACATAAACTTTTTTTATTATTTCCTTCTATAGGAGAGAGATGTTGCAGTGTCAGCAAAGAGCTGTTTTTGGTTTTGTGCTATACAAAATTTACCGTTCTAAAATGCAGTTATGTTCATCTTCCTTCTCCAAGTTGCATATATGCTCAGATTATTGCTTTGAGGCCTTTAACACAAAATCAGAAAGATCTTACTTGCTTTTTTGGTTGTGGATTGGTTTGTTTTCAGTTTTGCTTTCTTTTAAATTTGCCTTGTGTTTCTTCTCCTTGTGGTAAAGCGTTCTGTGGGCCAAACACAGACAAAATGTATTTTGGGATACCTGAAGATTCAAAATTGAATCTTTAAATCAGCTATTAAATTGGTGGAGAATAGAAATGGATAGATTAAAAAAAGTGGGTTTGATGACTACAAAAGCAAAAAAAGTGAACATTTAAAGAATAGGTATGCTTTAGACTTCGAGGATTGTGGACTTTCTTTTGCTGACATACAGATATTTTGTGGGCTGTTTTGAGGGCTTATTTCTAAGGTTTGCCACATACTTAGTTACTAAACCCTTTTGTGGTGCTTTCTAGAAGTGTTCATTGTGCATGCTAAGCGCAGCCACCTGAACTTCCAGGGAGATGCAGAGCTGCCAAGTCTAGTGCTCGTAGTCCGTGGGTATCTGTTTGCAACACTGGACGCAGTTTATCACAGGCATTTCAATGCCAAAAGTACAAAAGCTGTACTAAACCAGCGGATGCTTAATGAGAACTGTGACTTGTAAGTGGACCATCTCTCGTTATAAGTAAACATCCCCCACAAAAGATGCGATGTGTGGAGACAGATTTAAAGGAAGCAGAATAAGTGGAAACTCCCATTTTAGCCAGACGACAGCTTGCTAGCAGTTATCAGTGAAGCAACTTTTTTAAATAAAGTCAAAGAGATAAGCTTTTCCAAAAATGAGTGTTAAATGTGAATCGCCCTTGTCTTTGTTCTTAAGAAGCTAGACCAATGATTTTTTTTAAGTTCAACTCTCTTCCCCACTTGTATGTTTAAACACTTATTCTGCTATAGCTGTTCAGGCTACTGTGTGATACTGGTAATAGCATCAGTCTGCTCTGAGAAGAATGTGTGTGTTGTGCTTACCTCTGAGTATACTGCACAAAAAACTGCTCTCCCAGCAAGGTCTTTATTTCATCCAGATGCTGAGCTGGGATTGGCTGCAGCATGCCATCGGGCCAGTTTGACTGCGTAGCAGAGTCTGGGAGTTGCTTATTCTGTTCCACTAGAATTAGAAGTATTTGTTTCAATAATTAGCCAGCAAATGAGTGTTTTCAGTACCATTCCCCATTTGACAGCAGGAGTACAGGGACAAATCCAGTTGCTTGGCTTTCTGAACTGTGCCTTTTTCACTCTTACAGTGCAGAGGTTGTCTAAAGTGCAGTTTTCTGCTTTCAAAAGCAGCAAATCTGTGAGACAGAGATAGATTTAATCAACACCTTTACAAGACAATGGTTAACAATTCACTGCTCTGATCCCTCTTGGGCATCTTCCAGGCTCACCGAAAACAGGAGGGATGCAGCATAGTGAAAGCAATACTTGCTGTTGTCACTGCCTGAGCTGGGTTTGCACAGCAGTGATAGACAAATGAGGGCTCAGACCCCCCCCTCCCATCATCTTTGTCTAGGAAACCAGCCTGGCCACAAGTAAAGACACTGCAAGTTGTGTGCCATCAAATACAGCCAGTGTAATGCTCAGTGGCTGCTCCGCTTGCTTGTCCACAGCGGTCTAAAGAGCACCGTCACCAGCCCTGTGTCCTTTTTCCGTCACAGTACTTTAAGGTAGCGCACTCCTGTTTTCAGTATGCAAACACTTAAACCCAGAGATGTTTGTAATACCTACAGGACATGAATCCTATCTATGCCCCATCCACAAATCTGCTATCCACATAGTTACGCAGTTTGTGCCCCATGCTTTCTCTTTCCCAAACTCTGGAAGTCTTTTAGAGACCCCGAAGGAGGGCTGCCAACGTGCATACTACTGTACATTCTGAAGAGCCAGTGGGAAGTAGCTTTTGTTACTCCTTTGAGATTTTGCCTGCACGTATGGTAACATTGACATTGATTGTAATATTTCACACAAAATAACGATTACCTACAGGATAGTTCTAGTCTCCCCCATCCCCTCCATCACTGTTTGAGCTAAGTGTGAAGAAATGCAGTTGAAAATTTGGCTGGGCTGTTTTGTAGTAGCCTAACATTTGGGAAAAGTGAGTGGAGAAAAAAGAACTATGCAGCTCAGTGGACTGGAGTAGGAATGTCTCACACGTTATCCAGCCATAGTGATTGGACTCTGCTGATTGTCTGGAATATGAGTTCCACTTGAGCAATTTCATAAGAGACTGCTGAGGGTCTCTTTCAGTGAGGTGATAATGCCTGAGATCTTTCACACATGGTGAAAGAAAAGGAAAAAAAAAATTCTAAGGCTCTTACAATGCCAGAGCCGTAAGACTCTGTGGGCTAAAAGCTAGTAAATTGGTAGCCTTAGTGCCAAATATCTGTAGTTTTAGGAAACAAATATGGAAAATTGGTATGCTGTGCAAAATAAAACCCAGAGACAACCTTGTATGGACATTTTAGGAGGTGAACCAAGTGTGTCCTTACCTGATGGAATCTCTTAATCAAGTCCTTTGGCAATCTAGCACTGGTGAGGTGAAAAGGCAATGAGTTACCCTCTTTCAATTCTAGGCAGGCTTCCTTTTTTCACTAGCATTCAAGCAGGAATCAGTTGAGGGCCTGAGACATGCTTAAATCTTCCTGCCTTAGGAGAGAATCTGAGGACTTTTCACAGGACAGAGGCCTTAAACTTTGCGGGTTTTTTTGGTATCTGATTCATATTGGGTCCAAATGTGCTCTTTGGCTGCGTTACTCTTTTGATTAAGGCAACATAAACCATAGACCTGCTCCCAGATTTAGGAGAAGTTGGAGAGAAAATGATAGCTGCTGAAGCCTAGTGAAGAAGAGGAAAGCAGTGGGCTAAAGGCAACAGCTAAAACAGCAGAGGAATATCTTGGTCAATTCAGGAGACAATCAGGAGGAGAATCACAGATTGCCATTTGTCGGTAGACAATTACCTGATCATGGCTGATACTTGAAAAGAACTTAAGTTATAAAACTTTCAGACATGTGAAGACATACTTAAATGCTTGTCCGCTGCCTACTGTAAAGGCAGAAATAGCTCCAGTCTTAATTACTATGCTGTGAATGGTCATATAAACCCCAGATCAAAGGAAAACCTTTATTTTCTCCATCAGTTAAATCCAGTGTGCTGACATCTCTCAACAGAGTGTATTTCTGATTGTAAATTTATGAGTGCCATTGAAAATGTTAGAAATAATGTTTTATTAATCTTAAATAATAAATTGAACAGATAAGCTATCTAAGTAAGGGAAACAAGGGTTGTATCAGGTACTGTACTACAAAAGACCCTGTTGGATTCAGTGTGGAGATTCCAGCGCATTTGCTAAGGAGAACGTGCTGCTAATGTCAAAGCATGAACTGTATTCACTTTATACCTGCATAGTTTCTTTCCACAGGAAAGCTGGCTGCCAGTAACTGTAGCCACTAGGTTTGGCTCTTACCAAGATCCAAACACAGGCTACTTAATTTTAAAAAATGTAACTGAAGTCTTCCAAGCCTCTTTTCAAGCAATACAGGGCACAAGAGTCAATCTGTTATGTGTTTGTTGTATCGTGTTGTGAAATGCTTCTGCAGTAATTTGGCCACTCTTTGGATTTGCTTTTGTCTGTAGATCATGGCTCATGTTCTACTGTACTTGTGTGGTTGAAGTATGTAGGAGTTAAGCTAGTTACAGTCAGATGAATGCATCAGGTCAAAAATAGTTCTAAGATCTAAAACTTCATGTTACCAGACTGAGTATGCTATATTTTTGCAAGAATGTACTAGTAAAGTAATAACCCTTTCAGTGGACTTCTGACAGTTTAGTAACAGTAATGATAGAGCTATAATATGCTGGCCACTGCCAAAAATAATCGAACAACTTTTCCAACTGTTCTGCCACCCTAAGAAAACACTGCTTCAGTTCCAGCTAGCTGTTTTTCAACCACAAAATAGTTTATTTTCAGCAGGGCTTTTAAAAAGTTTTTTTTTACTGTCTTCTTCCCGGATTCCTGGTTGGGGCAGAATCCAGTAAATGATGCAGTGTTATTCAAATGATGCTAAAGACAGCATCTATATACTATTCCTCTCTACCTGCCATTCCTACACATTAATAAAATATCCTACTGAAGTATTTCTTCAGAATTTACATGTATTCAGGATTACAGACCTTAGAGGTAAACCCCCCAACTTCCATTTTATTTTTTAGTTTCAGCACATATAATAGGAGTAGCAGCACAGTGTAAACATAAAACAGTGCTATTTGCACATGAATGCTTCATAGGGATTCATAGTAAAACAAATACAGTATTTACCAACTGATCTAAGGTCTGTCTGAAAAAAGTAATAATTGAAATATAGATGATCAGTCTCCCTGTTCCTTTGCTTATTTGGTGATCATGCACTAAAGATGTCACTAGTAAAAGCTGAACAGTCTAAAAGCAATGCTACAAGGGGCCTAATGGAAGAGTGGAGAAACAGATCCCCTCAAAAATCAAGCAGTTCTGTATCTTGCAAAATGCTTGCAAGCACCTGTAAGCCAAACAAGTGCTAAGCAAAACAAGTATGTATAGGGAATTCCTATTTTTTAAAACAGTTATCCCACAGAATAAATCCCAAAGAGCGTTTCCTGGAAACTTCTTTAGACCTGAAAACATAGTAAATTTACTACATTGATTACTTCCAATAGGAATAGCACTGCTTAAAATTGTTGTCAAGTCTCTGTATAGTCTCTGTTTCGTGTAAAGCCTGCAAAATTTTAACTCTTGATTCCAGTGCAGATCCATTTCAATTCAGACTGCAGGACTTGAACAGTTAACAACTGGGTTATAAAGTGTGTAAAGATGTATGTGAGAGTTCTGGAATTCCAAGAGCAATTTAAAGATTTGACACTTCTCTGTGAAGACTGCAGTTGAATTTTGGCAGCTCTGTTTTTGCTAGAATATTACAATACAGCTGTTTTAAACCTGGAAGCATTGTTAAAGTGTTATTACAGTGGGGAGAAAAAATGATGTGCTGTGTTGAAGTAGTTCCATTTCATGACTGCCACTTGTATAACTAGAAATAGAGCATGGAAGATTGACTTCGGGACATTACCCACTTTTTCTCCCCAGGACACCAAACAGTGCAACTTCTCACTTCAGGAATGTTAACATTTTATTTTAGAATTTCCAAATGAGAGAAAATGGATACTTGATTTAACACAACTCCATCAGACCAGCAGTGGTGATGTTTAACCAAAATAAACATATCACTGCTTTCAGTGATGCCTGACTAGGTAAAATGAAGCACTAAAATAGAATTGGGCTATCGATATCATATTTACTATCTGTAAATATTAGTAAAATATTAGTAAAAATGAAGCATGCTTGTCTGTAAACAGAATATTTTTAGTGCCCTATTTTAATCGATTAGACAGTGCAGCCTTCTAACGGCATATTCACTAGATTCCGTTAAAGTAGGTCCTATGCTAGTAAGAGAAAAGATAAACCAATGCTCTTTGGCTCAGTAAAATACAGCAAGTAAATGGTTTTCTAAATAAAAATAAACAGAGGCAATAAACATAGGCATAGAATGTTGTAATCTAAAGCATGATATGATTTAGGATGTTATTTTCTGTCATTTGTGAAGTTGTTGGCATATTTTAAGGATGTGCCAAAAAATCAACAGAAAGGATATTTGAATCTTTTTGTCTTCATGACAAGACTAGTGAGAACACACATCTCATTTACCAATTTTGTAATTCAGATTACAGGAAATAGACGAAAACAAACATCATAATAACGGGAAATAATAGTTTTCAGAATACTGAATGAGCCAATAAACTCCCCAAAGTATTTACTTAGACTTCTCCATTTCAGAGATGAGAAGTGGTTGCTTTATTCAATAATGACAAAAGAAAAAGTTCACGCTATATAGAGTTTGACCTAGCAGTGACATTTGTGCAGTTCTTTCCAATGACACAAGATGGAACATGTGTGAAGTTCTGGGGCTACTGGGAGCAAATGGTTTGCAACCAATATTTGTTTTCTGGTATTATTTGCAATGATATGCTTGGTTGTCTATTCAGCAAACAGGATCACAGAGGTCACAAAAATAAGCAACAAGTAATGA